CAGGTTCAAAAGTTAAGGACATGCAGTCCTTAACTTATAGTTCAAAGTTCAAAACTTAAGGACTGTTGTCCTTAACTTTGAGTTTCAAGTTCAAAAGTTTAGGACAAGCAGTCCTTAACTTTGAGTTACGGGTTCAAAAGTTAAAGACAGACAGTCCTTAACTTATAGTTCAAAGTTCAAAAGTTAAGGACTGTCTGTCCTTAAGTTTGACTTGCTGGTTAAAAAGTTATAGACAGACAGTCCTTAAGTTTGAATTTCACGCTCAAAAGTTAAGGACAAGCAGTCCTTAACTTTGAGTATAAAGTTAAGGATGGGAGTCCTTAAGTTTGACATGCAGGTTCAAAAGTTAAGGACAGACAGTCCTTAAGTTTGAATTACACATTCAAAAGTTCAGGACAGGCAGTCCTTAACTTTGTGTTCAAAGTTCAAAAGTTAAGGACACTTGGTCGTTAACTTTCAATTTGAAGTTCAATTACACTTATTCATGAACTAATACTAACAAACTCCATGGACAAATCAACACTTGAGAGAAACAAAGAAATTAATAACATGATGCCTTGATACTACTTCTGAAATTGTAATTTTGCATAGCTGTGACAAAAAATTTTGCTACGCAAATAAAGAATAAGTGCATTTTGAGGAATTTACAGAATATTTCAGAAGTTTCTAAACTTGCAGAATTCATATGGATTCTTTACAGCAATTTTATACAAAAGATCAACCACAACTAAGTTTTTTTACAACTAAACTACAACTCCTTTGGACAACAAGTTTCATTTTACTCTCATAGTCATCGCCAACATTTTCTGGTGGTGTATCATAATCAGAATTTCTTTTTCACTCACCATGAGGCCAAAGATTTGCGACAAGTTCTTTTCTAAAGTCTTTTATATCTTCAGGTTGGAATTTCTCCACATCCCTTCCAATCATCAACAACTCCACATACTTGATCAGGAATGCACCACAATCAGTCCTAAGAAAAATGTAAGATATGCAGTGAATTAAACAATAAATATAAAGTACATATAAATAATATAACAAATAACAACACGTACGATCCAGTTTGGTGTGGTGATCTTTGCCACTGAATACCAAATTTGTTGAAGGCATTTCCAAAAGACTTGTGATGTTTGTCAAACTGTGAGAACTTTAGAAAGTGGGGGATCATACGTGCATACATTTCCATGTGATTCATTCCTGCCTCATATGGCTCACTATATAAGGAATCGTATATATCAATCTTTTTCTGATTCAAGTCCAATACCCTCAAAAGAAAGTGTGTCACAACATTATCATCTTCTGAAGGAAGCCGACACGGAAAAAAGATTTTGTCAACCTCTGTCCAAGCAATTCCACATCTACGACTGTCCCCCCTACACACACACATATGGTGTCAGAAACAACTAATTATCACCAGTACACCAAAAGTCATCAGTAGCATCTTCACTGAAATCATTATACACAAGCACCATATAGTTATCAAAAAGAATATCAGTAGTTGTGCAACGAAAAGGATGGTCGCGAGGGTGGTAGCATTCCTTCTTTCTCAGATAACATAGGGCAATGTCAATATGCTTCATAAAAAGGCAAAAAATAAAACAAATCCATCAGTCATAAAATAATTAAAAATGATAAATTAAGAATAAAGAAAATAAATGCCTTGCAAATTATCTAACCTTATCATCAAGTACAAAGCTACTATCTGAAAGCTCAAGGAAGAACATTTTGCTACTGATTTTTTGATGATACAATTTGTATGGATTCTTTCTCACACCATTATCATCAGCATATATATCAGTTTGTCCCCTGAAAAATTTGAAAATATCAAAGTTAGAAGTTAGTCCTGAACTTAGCCTTTCAAGTTGAAAAATTAAGGACAGGCAGTCCTTAAATTTGAATTATATATTCAAAAGCTAAGGACACTTGGTCCTGAAGTTTGAGTTTCAAGTTCAAAAGTTAAGGACACATGGTCCTTAACTTAAACTTACAAGTTTAAATGTTCAGGACACTTTGTCCTTAACTTTGAGTTCAAAGTTCAAAACTTAAGGACTGTCTGTCCTTAACTTTGAGTATCAAGTTCAAAGTTAAGGACAACAGTCCTTAACTTTGAATTACATGTTTGAAAGTTAAGGACACATGCTCCTAAACTTTGACTTACAAGTTCAAAAGTTCAGGACACTTAGTCCTGAACTTTGATTTCCAAGTTGAAAAGTTAAGGACAATAGCTCATTAACTTTAATTTTCAAATTCAAAAGTTAAGTACACTTGGTCCTAAACTTAGACTTACAATCACAGAAGTTAAGGACACTTAACTTTAGCAATTTCAATATCAATACTGAAATATATTAAGGGACTTACTCTTTTTTGCGACCTCTCATTTTCTCCTTGCCCAACCACACAACGAATTTCTTCAATAATTTTGCATCATCTGTGGCATAATGAAAAATACACCTACGAGTATATGTTGATTTTATCCAGCCTGAAATCTTGGGAGTATTTTGATTGTCTGCCATCGATGTTCCTTTTTTTCTTTCCTGATCAAAAGAAAATTTCAACTGCCAACTAAGCTTCTTGTTCCTTTTACCTCGACCAAGATCTTCTTCAACATTTCCTTCAACCTCCATAGGCAAACCCCCATCAATGCTTATTTGTGTACTTGGAGGAGTAGGAGTAAGAATAGAAAATGACGGACCATCATAACCAATACTATCTCTCTTTCTTTTTCTCGTATATTGGTTAGGATCTTCATCATTGTTTTCCTTTGCAGGCAACACTATATAAATATATTAGTTTGCTGCAAATCGTCAAATGAAGAGACAAAATTTCAATTATGAATATAATATTTAGGATACAATCATTACCTGTCATGTTCACACTGCCTTCTTGTGTTTTTTCAAGAGACAATTCAGCTAAAATATTGCTTGCATCATTTTCATTATCCTCCAGCTACACATTTTCTTTATCTTGTAATTGTTCTCCATGTTCTTCAGTTGCACGTTCACAAGATTCTGCAAAATAATTACAACAGCTAACACAATTAGTACTTGTCACTAATCTTTGATTAAAACAAACAATTTATAAAATTAAAAATAAACATTGTCTAACCATTTGCAATAGTCAAGATCATCCCAATTACATCATATCTTCACTAGCATTTTCTTGGGTTCCAATATTGTCGGTAAGAGAGGGATGTATAAGGAGATCACATGTTCCATCTATGAATTTGGAAACGATCTCACTTCTGCTTGTTCCTTCGGTATTTTCTAGGTCTTGAGATTGTACTCCACTTTTCTCTTGATACTCCACTCCAGCTTCTTCGCTTGCAGCTTCAAAAGATTTTGTAACGCGACACAATTAATACCCATTCTAATAATTCACTAAAACTAACATTCAATATATCATGAAAATTTTATCTAACCTTGATTGGCACAAGTTTGAACTCCAAATTTTTCTTTATATGACAGAGGTGTAGACAAATCATATGTTCCTTCTAAGCATTTGCATACAATCTCACTGACACTTGTTCCCAATGGACTTTCTAAATCCTCCTAAGAAGGCAATCCACATTTACAAATTTTTTCTATTACTCCTGTCTCTTTTGGATTTTCCTGGTCTTGACATTCTCCTATATCTTGAACTTCCACTCAATTAATAGATTCTACAAAATTTGTAATCAAGAAAAAGTTTATATGTATTACGCTATTGAATATAAATTTCAATGAAAAAAATTCAAAATCTATATCTAACTTTACCCAATATCAGTGACGTTCTCAGTTTCATCATCTAGATGTGCATCTCTGAAATCGCGTTCATACAGAACTTCTGCATGCACATCCATATCGTCACGTTCATCACCACCTGCATCTTTGTTAATTGCAACAGTAGGCTCTGTACCACGACAATGATCATCAACTCCATCTTTAGTAATTGGAACACTAGATTCTCTCTCTATGTTCCTTTCATCGGGTTTCCCATAAATCTTCAACAAAGTATCAAGCTTTGATCCTAGAGTTTTCTTTAAATACTGAGAAAGAAACTAAGTTAGAAAGTTAAGGACAGGTTCAAAAGCTAAGGACAGACAGTCCTTGAGTTTGAATTACAGTTTGAAAAGTTAAGGACATGAGTCCTTAAGTTTGACTTGCAGGTTCAAAAGTTAAGGACAGGAAGTCCTTAAGTTTGAATTCCAAGTTCAAAAGTTAAGGACATGCAGTCCTTAAGTTTCAATTACAGGTTCAAAAATTAAGGACAAGCAATCCTTAACTTTAAATTCCAAGTTCAAAAGTTAAGGACAGACAGTCCTTAACTTATAGTTTTAAGTTCAAAAGTTAAGGACACAAAGTCCTGAACTTGGACTAACTGAAATTAATGATATTACCATGATTTCATTCTCAATTTTTTTTCCTGCTACAGCTATTTTCTGATTTAGTCTAGTAACTTCAGCTTGCAGATCCTTCTTAAAACTCTCTGATAATCTCTGAATCAAAAAACATAAAAACAAAAAAGTCTCGTAAGCAAAAAATAATCAAATAAAAAACTAATGCTATTCAAAGGCAGAAAACCTACTTTAACAATTTCCTTAAGCATGGCTTCATCAAATTGTGTGGAAGAAGGCATTGAGCTTTGATCTTGAGAAATTGGCTCGTCCACACTAAGAGGCTCTGTATCTTCTTCAACAGGAATAAATGGTGACACCTCGATCAACTTATACAACTATTATATAACAAAAAATAAACATAAGTTTTCAGAACTAAAACAAATAAACAAAAAAATAGCTAGTAATTAGATTGACTTCCATTTTCATTATGGAAGTATTTTTTACCCAGAGAATCAAACTGTGGAGATTTCATTTCCGAATAACATAACATCTGAGTATAACCAAATTCTTGGAAGTTCACAAATTATTTTTCTTGGAAAATAGGAATTACTTCCATAATCCAAACACAAAAGGCAAAAGGAAAGCCAAGTATAGTGTAGCTATCCTTGTCTTTATCTTTGTCTTTCTATTTCTCAATCTCATTCTCATTCGGCTTCAAACAACTCTTCAATGATTTTAATAATGTTTCATAAGAAAGAGAGCCCCAGTTGAAAGAAGAGCAGAGTTCATCATCGTCTACAATTTTCATTATCTGCTCGGACACATTCCTATTCTTCCGCTTGCCCATCAAAACAGATTCAACAAAATAAATTGTTTCCAACTTCACAGCATCATCATCGCTACCTACAAATGTTGCAGCTGTACCATGTGGGTGACTAGTAATAAAATTAAACAAATCACCCAACTCAACTCTATCCTTTCCGGGGAAATAGACTTTCAAAAGTCTATTCTCTTTTTCATATAAACCTTTGATGTCCGATGAAGAATAACACTTCAAACCAGTAATTATATGGAAGGCGTCACGTGTAAACTTAATTTCACGGTCAAAAACCTTGAATGTCATCGAATCAGGGTCATTATTTATAATTTCTAAAAGCAATATACAGTGAATAAGTTTACCACAGAACTTCACACTTTGTAATCGGAAGAAGTTGCCAAAAATACTATCCCTCAACTTCTTCCACTGCCTGTTTGACAAAAAACTTTTGATTGTTTTCTTATACTGTAAATCTCCTTTCCAATACACCATAAAATTACGCCAAACATCAAACTTGAACACACGATCTCCTTCCATTATCACACTACAAAGAAGGAAAAAGAAAATAAAGATTAGGACTTACAGTTAGTTGGAGGGACTTGGTCCTTAACTTCAAGTTTCAAGTAAAAAAGTTAAGGACAAACAGTCCTTAACTTAAAGTTTAAAGTTGAAAAGTTAGGGACAATAGGTCCTGAACTTCAAATTTGTAGTTCAAAAGTTAAGGACAGACAGTCCTTAACTTTGAATTCCAAGTTCAAAAGTTAAGGACACTTAGTCCTTAACTTAGAGTTACAAGTTAAAGAGGTGAATAGGCAGTCCTTAACTTATAGTTTCAAGTTCAAAAGTTAAGGACACTTGGTCCTTAACTTCAAGTTTCAAGTTTAAAAGTTAAGAACAAGCGGTCCTTAACTTTAAATTTCAAGTTCAAAAGTAAAAGACACTTAGTCCTTAACTTAGATATACAAGTTAAAGAGGTAAGAATAGACAGCCCTTAACTTATAGTTTCAAGTTCAAAAGTTAAGGACACTTGGTCCTTAACTTCAAGTTTCAAGTTTAAAAGTTAAGAACAAGCGGTCCTTAACTTTAAATTTCAAGTTCAAAAGTAAAAGACACTTAGTCCTTAACTTAGATATACAAGTTAAAGAGGTAAGAATAGACAGCCCTTAACTTATAGTTTCAAGTTCAAAAGTTAAGGACACTTGGTCCTTAACTTCAAGTTTCAAGTTTAAAAGTTAAGAACAAGCGGTCCTTAACTTTAAATTTCAAGTTCAAAAGTAAAAGACACTTAGTCCTTAACTTAGATATACAAGTTAAAGAGGTAAGAATAGACAGCCCTTAACTTATAGTTTCAAGTTCAAAAGTTAAGGACACTTGGTCCTTAACTTCAAGTTTCAAGTTAAAAAGTTAAGGACGGGCAGTCCTTAACTTATAGTTTCAAGTTGAAAAGTTAAGGACACTTGGTCCTGAACTTCAACTTTCAAGTTCCAAAGTTAAGGACGCTTGGTCCTTAACTTCAAGTTTCAAGTTCAAAAGTTAAAGGCACTCAGTCCTTAACTTTGAGTTCCAACTTCAAAAGTTAATGTCGTTTGGTCCTTATCTTTTATGAACACAATTAACTAAAAATTCATAAACACAGTAAGCTTATGAATTTATACGACTATTTTTATGAAATGTCCTTACATAATCAAATATATTGAATCAACCACAAACACATTTCACATTTCAACACCAAAAATTTCTGAATAACAGCATCACAAAAATATGCTACTTTTCCGATACTGAATCAACTTGTAATGATCATTTTTGAAATTTCACATATACTTGACACGACATTGATCGCGATTAGACATATAGAAAAACAAAAATGCATAAAACAAAAAAAAATTACCAGTTCGATCATTCGATTCAGAGAAGATGACAGAGAAGATGAAGAAGGAGAAAAATTAACTGTACCTCGTTTGCATGCGAGGATGATACAGATGCTGAGAACACACGAAGCTTGCCCTGAAAGATTCGCTCTCAAATTTTCCCTCTTCTGAATGAAAAAAACAAGGGTTTCGGAAAATATGCATTGAAGAAAGGGTAAAACTGTCTTTTTCCTATTAGTAGTGGCTATTTTTGCTAAGCATTATAATTAGTGGATAAAAATTAAAGACACTCTTAATTAGTGGCTACTACACGCCATTTTTACTAAACAAAAATGTGGACAATAAAATTTACAGAATTTTCTCAATTTTCTAAGGCTCAAACATGGGTTGACGGTTCCTAGAAGTCAGCAAATGATAACTCTCTAACATATAAATAATAGGATATGTTCATCCTTAATTAGAGGTCTTTTTTGAGTCGTTGGATTGGAGAACTTTTATGAGAAAGTATTTTATCCTCTTTAATAGGCCAATTCAACGTAAATCTGAATTAGCAAATCACTAATTATTGGATATCAAATGATTTTAAAAAATAATGGACAAGAAAATGAATATAATTATTTAAAAAGAAAATCCCAAAAATTATAATCCATCAAGATATTGAGCATTTTTATTTACTACCACTTGTTTATAAATCATTTCATGTTATTTTTTATTTGTTTTGAGATTATTTATATGATGCATGTATTCTAATATTTGTTATCATTTCACTTTTAATACATATCCATTATTTTATATTTGTCAAAAATAATAAATAATTTTAAAAATAACAGCAGAAGTATATCATTAATCCAACAGTAGTTCAGTATTAACCCGATAACTTTATCATTTATAAAATGATTTTTTTTTTCAAATTTGGCAAGTCATTCATATTCGCTTGGACATTAAGAATTTAGCATAAAATTAATAGATTTCACATGTGTAACTTTTTTGAGAAAAATAAATATAACCAAAAGTTTAAAAAATTATAAAATTGTCCAATTTCAAATAATACAACAATAAATTTCACCTTTTCCCCCTTATAAAATCAGCAAAAAAATTGCGATCCCCAAATTTTCTTGTTAGGTGGGGTAGGGTTGTTGTTGGGGG